CACAAGAGCTTGAGTCCCTCTTTTTGATCAATTTGTGAAACAACTTTCCTACATATGCATGTGAAAGCACTCTTATAAATAAACTCGTAAGATATCTTGATAAACTCCTTGTGTCCGCTGCATTAGGTTAGCATGCCCTTAATATTGGTATCGAAGTTTTGGGATTCTTCTAAACGTTTTTCCATCCCTGCAAATTATTTGATATATGGCTGCTTGAGCTACTTTTTAGTAAGCCGCTTACCTCCAAGAGGCGGAGCTCTATGGTGGCCCATCGTTGTCACGCGTAAAATTGAAAATAAAAATAAAAAACCGAAAATAAAAAAATTGTTGTAAAAAAACATAAAAATAATTAAAAAAAAATGAAAAAAAAAAATTAAAATTAAAAAAAAATAAATAAATAAAAAGGAAAAAAAAAAAAAAAAATTAAAAAAAAAAATTGAATAAAAAGAAAATAAAAAGGTTGACAACGATGGTCCGCTTCGTGGCCCATCGTTGTCACGCGTTTTTATTTTTAGAAAATTTGCTTCTTCTTGGGACCAACGTTGTCAGGCATAATCCTACGCGCACAAATGTGTTCTCTGGGTTTCAAACTCACTACTGATTTTCTTGAGCAATATTCAATATGAAAATGTTCTATAAATTCTCCATGCTACAAGTTCAACAAGAAGTAATATATTTATAATAATGATAAGAGAATATAGAATTGAATACGAAAATTCGGAAAATTTGTTTTTACGTGTATAAGGTAATTTAATTGGAGAATGCTGCTTAACTACTCAGTTGTCTGGACACTCGCGATGCCGGTACCGTACCATCTTACCAAATACCGGTAGTCGGTTATAGTCGCTTTGCGTCTGACCGTACCGGTAGCCATACAATCACTCATGTAAGAATGGGAGATACGGATAGTCTCGTAGAATATAGACTACTGAAACACTCTCTGCGCCTGCCCCATACCGTACAGCCGTAACGTACCGATCCAGACAAATGATAAATCGCCCGTGCTCAACCATTTATTTCAATCCATACCTCGACTCACTATATTCTACTAGGATCATGGTATGGATTGAAATAAATGGTTGAGCACTGGCGATTTATCATTTGTCTGGATCGGTACGTTACGGCTGTACGGTATGGGGCAGGCGCAGAGACTGTTTCAGTAGACTATCCGTATCTCCCATTCTTCCACGAGTGATTGCATGGGTACCGGTACGGCCAGACGGTACCGTACCGGCATCGCACGAGTGTCTGAGCAGTTAAGCAGCATTTTCCAATTAAATTACCTTCTACACGTAAAAACAAATTTTCGTATCCAATTCTATATTCTCTTATCATTATTATAAATATATTGCTTGTGGTTGAACTTGTAGCATGGAGAATTTATAGAACATTTTCATGTTGAATTTATTGGATATTGCTCATGAAAATCAGTAGTGAGTTAGAAACCCAGGAAACACATTTGTGCGTGTAGGATTAAGCCTGACAACGTTGGTCCCAAGCAGCATCAAATTTTTCAAATATAAAAACGCGTGACAACGATGGGCCACGAGGCGGACCATCGTTGTCAACCTTTTTATTTTCTTTTTATCCAATTTTTTTTTTCAATTTTTTTTTTTTTTTAATTTTTTTTTTTAATTTTAATTTTTTTTTTAATTTTTTTTGTTTTGTTTTATTTTTCAATTTTTTTTTTAATTTCATTTTTATTTTTATTTTTTCAATTATTGTTATGTTTTTTTTACAACTATTTATTTATTTTCGCTTTTTCATTTTATTTCTTCATTTTTTTTTAAATTTTACACGTGACAACGATGGGCCACCATAGAGCTCAGAGTTGCTCGAGTGATTAAAATGGTCAGGTCAAAACACAAAAAAGCCAGAATAAGCCAACAATATTACTAAATACAAAAGCCTCATTATTTGTCCGATTTGAAACCCTTGGCACAAATGTCTTTTCCCATTGAAAGTTGTATTTTCGATTGCTATCATGATGATTTCCACTTTACCATGATGAAGAATAAAACTCGCAGGGTTTACCAAACTGGGGTGCGGTCCGTGATGAGTATACAGGGGGGACGCAACGATGTGGAAAGAGTCTTAAACATATTCAAATAGATCATAATCTTATCGTATTGCCGGTAGCCTGCCAGTATTCAACGTTAGTATGTATTGATTCAGATTTTCATGAGTTTTATTTCGTCAAAGGAAACATTATCCTTTCTCGTTGGTTAGGCACATAAATTGATACGGTTACCGTTACTTCAGTGTTAATGTTAATGATGGTTTACAATAATCATACTTTTTAATATATTGTTGTGATATAGCAATTCACGAGTTAACTGCGAAGCGGGGTAGACAGACAGCCGTAGCATTTAGCCGTAGTATTTAGCCACGGAGCTAATTTTTGAATGGGCGCTGTTTTTGTTCCGTTAAATTTGCCTAGTATAGCTAAATCAAGAAAGTAATCTGAAAGTTATCTTGGTTTACTTTAGGTTTAGGGGCTTTGAAACATCCATACCGTGTGAAAAAGGGCCTATCCTTTCAAAAACAAAAACTAGACTATAAAACGACAAAACTAGATGCAAGTGGATATTTTTCACAGCAGAGCATTGTGTTCGTTCAGGCCTCCTACGAAATGGCTTTAGGATTCGCTAAAAAAAATTACTCACATATATATAATAGAAAAATCTCTAGTAAAGCCCTGCGCTTCGAAAATGGCATTGATGATTTGGGGAGAAAATGATTCCAAAAATATTAGCAGATGACTTTATTGTGTAAGCATTTTACACTAGATCGGTTTCTAAATTAAAATGACAGTTGGTACGATGTATGGGTCCGTGACTACATTATCAAATCAAGCGGGGTCTGCAAAAGAAAAAAAGATTGAGAAACACTGCCCAGGGACCTTTATCTTCCGATACCTGCTATACCGTCAGTGGCGCTGTCAGAATTACTGATAAATTATTGTTAGCGTGGCGTGGTTATTTTATCTCTGAACAGCTTTCTATTGTTTCAGCAATTTCTATTTCACAAGTATATATATATTTATCGACGCATGTACCTTTCTGGCCACGGTGACATCGATAATCCATATTTCCTTCGCGTAATTATACGTATAGTGAGAAAAACGCACGAGATAAGATAATAAAGAAAGAATCCACAATAACGTGAACAAAATTGTCATTAACGGCTCCTGTTTTCGTGACGACCACGAAATAAATGTTGAAATTCGCGTAGCGCATTGGGCTCATCTAAACTAGAAACGATATCATGCACACTAAAATAAAACGAAAATAGCTTCACGAATTTTGTCCGAGGCGCTCCGCGACAGACAAAAATGTTGTCCCAACGCTATGTTAGATAATAATCGAAATTTTTTTTTTTGCACATATGGCAAGCATTTTGCTTGTTTACCAACAGAAATAACACTACACGCAACGAACATGAAATTTGGGGTTTCAAACGAAGCCTGTCAAAATTACCGCTTATCAATTTTCGATAGTAGGCCAACAACGATGGGAGGTGACTACATTGACATGGGGACTAATTCGTGAAAAAGACTTGGCCTATAGTTGAAAATAAAGGAAAAGACATCTATTCTTTGATTGTCTGCAAGTCTTTTTCGTTACCATAAAGTTACTTTGGACCTCCTAAAGTATGCGCACCAAGATTGCACATACCCTGAATTTAGTTAGTGTACCAGGTTAGGGTTCAGGTTATGCGACATCTTGGTGCGCATACTTCAGGAATACCGTTAATTTAATATGTGTTACTATTAAATTCTTAAAGATTTCGTACATTGAATACGAGGAATACTGCAAGCTATTTTACCGGGTGTTGTGATATTACATAACAATGCAATAGATCCGTCCATTTCTAGCGACCTCTTGCTACAGGTTCTCTTCCGGAGTAGTGTGTATATTAATTAACGAAACAGAAATCTGAAGCAGCTTTGCAGATCCGATCAAAAAATAGTTAACCTAGACATGCATCCCATTCCAAACTCATGAAATCAGTAACAAAAAGAATATGCATCCCATTCAAAACTCATGAAATCAGTAAAAAAAAAGAATTTGCCCTAGCATCATGAACGTCTTTCCGTAATTTATATGCACCCGAAAATGTGCTTGAGCAAACTAATTTCATAAAATCGAGTACCGGAAACCGCCTCATTCCCTATATTGCGGCATATATAAAGTTCTAACTACAAAATACCAAGCAACGATGACAAGACGCAACAAGTTTCTCATTGATCGAATACATATGGGTCCGCAGGCTTTTTTATGGAGTTAACTTTGATGACCGTCTGGTCGTATCACTCCTCCTGTCTATACCCAACTAATTTATTATTTTTTAATATTACCAGGAAGTTTATTTTATTTTGGTTGCCGAAAAAATAAAACCCCTCTCTCCTGTGCGGTGATGAAAATATAATTTTTGATCCATTGATAAAAAAAGGTTCGCCATCCCTGCACTACTGGATAGCAAATCAATTAAACGAATTACCGCAGGTTGAAAACTTGGATTTTCAGGAATGAACAAACACCGAGCCTTTTGTCAAAGTATATGAGTTCGTTACATAAATTACGAAGCAGCCGATACGTATATTTGCTTTACTCCCCATTTTAGCCCAAACAGCGACATCCAGATTCTGCAAATGCTTCGAATACAGTATTTTAGCACAATACCCATGTGCAATATATCTTTGTAAAAGTCAGGTTACCATACAAGATAATACCAACAATGAAACTAAAATTGAAATCATACTTATTGATTTACAAACTTATTATCCATCATATAGCGACCGTCAGTCTTATGTGAAAAAGATGCTCAACTTTCATTCCGTTAAGTAAAGTCATAAAAGAAGACTGGCCATCAGTACTGCGAAAGGCGTTTTATACCTCATACCTGTTTTATAAGCTTGACAATCTACATTTCAAATACCACTCCATCTGAGAATGAAAACTGAACACCCCACAGAAATGGAAGCAATGGAATTAATCACTACAAAATCACACTCTGGTTATTTCTTGCAAAACTGTACATAAAACACCAAAATGTCTGTAACATATAAGAGTTAATATTAGTTTGTTATTCATTTCTGCGTTGAAACTACCCAGTGACTTGATCGAGTATATAACAATGATAAAAACATGTAGTTGCCATTAAAACCATGGTAGTCAGGTGAGCAATGGTGATCGACCAATCAACGAATAGACATGCAGGCGGCAACTCTGCTGCTCCCTTTCGTTGAACTTGGTTCCAAAACTGACTTTTTATTTGATTTCTCCTCAGGAGCAAAGCATTTCCACATTCGCAAACTCTCATCCGCTGCACCAGAACATACAGTCGTTTCATCAGGACTCATAGCAAGATACAAAACCTGAAATTTTTTAATAAATATATATTTGTTCTGCAAGATTGCAAGAAAACCTATTTAAGCATGTGGAAAGAGAAATGAAGCTACCAATGAGATGTTAAAATCTATTTAAGCTAGAATTGTAGAAGAAACAATGAAGTAGAGAAGAGCAGAAAAATTATGACGGAATTATACTGCCGGTATTGTGAATCGTTAAATGAATTTCACAATAACAAAGAATAGGGTGATCTGTACTTGGGGTTACTATGAATCTTTAATTACGAGAACTTCACATTACTATTTCAATGGTAATAGATTAGTTGAAATGTATAAAAGGAATTACCCGCTCTTTATGACCCAATAAATCTTGCACACGTCGCATTGAGGGATATGACCATATCGTGATTTGGTTCTGTGAGTAGCCGTGGGATGAAACTAGTTCTTTGTAGTTTGATGACCATTTCAATGCACATACCTGAATAAAATATAGTATAATTAACCAAAACCAGAAAGACCTCCATAACAAAGATTTGAAGAGTCTCTTAAAAACTGTACATTTTATAAGACTGCAACTCATCAACTTGTTCCTAGTATGACTGACGGGAGGTATGGTGCATGGCACACAATTTTCTGTCCAGCCTATGGAATCTTATTTCCCATTTGTATACAATTTCATAATATACTCTCAATACCTGTGACTTTGTGTCAATTGCATTTATCATTGATCCAGTATATGAATTCCAGAATCTGATGTGCCTATCAGCACTTCCTCCCCCACTTGCCAATATATGGGATTGCCACGGGCACCATGCAATAGCCTGTTAAAATTATGTAAATCATAATTTACATATATTTCACGACTTGTAATAAATTTGACTAGTTTTTGTTCATGGCAGCATGTATGATCCACTATTTTAGCATGAAATTAGCCGCTCTTTTCTGATTTATTATGCCTTTTGTCAAAGTATTGGGTAAGAAATCATGAGAATTCAAATACTGCCTGCATGGGGTACTCACTCAAATAAATTCTGTTATGTAAAGAATATAATCGTCGAAACAGCTGTTTTGGTACTATAATTCAGTGAAGCATTGCGGGCCGTAGTTTGCTAGGTAAACGAGAACCACACCCACACGTTTGACAAAAGTTTTAAATTACAACGAACCTTCACAGCAGACTGGTGTTCCGAAAATGAATATAGAGGTTGTACAGCTCTTTCATCCCAAACATTAACCATATTGTCATTTCCTCCACTAGCAAGATATTTTTGGTCAGGTGACCATTCCAACCCACACACTTCCTGTATAAAGGTGGAATACCATGACAATTCCGCAAGGCCACAATATTATACTTTCCTTCTTTTGCACAGCAAACCAATATTTTGCTCAAAGCAGGATTTTAATGACATAAGCCAGAATATATTGCAGTTGAAGGTTTCCATTGAAGTTTGACATTCATTGATTAAAAGAATAAACAACTCGTTCAACAATTGAACAAGTTCTGAGTAAGCAAAAAACAATATTTATCTCAAAATATGACATTAAGGTCATGGTGCAAACCACTGCCTATGCAAAAAATTACATACATGAAGCACTTTTTTATTACCTGTGCATGACCCTGATTACTATGAACCAAATGATTTGCAATTCGAACATCATGAAAATGAATGAATCCATCTCTTGAACCACTAGAGAAATGAAAATGCAAACAAGGAAATTTATCTTCATTAATGTGTAAATAACATGCATCAAATATCTATTATTTATATCACTATCAGTTTGCTATTCGCAAGAATATCACCAAAGTTTGTGACAAATCAATCCTGAATTAAAAACTGAATTTTAATTACTAGTCACTAATATTAGAAAAACAACTGAACTCCGATCAATTTTCCTCGACTGTTGTAAGAATCTAATCAAAACTAGAAAACAAATTCAAAAGAATTAGCTTATTAGACTTTAATTTCTCAGAAAGTTTAAGGTAATTGATTTTTGGTCACTTACTATTTTTACAAAATCAACACTGATACCTGGCTAATATTGCTTCATTCCAAGCAAGAGATCCAACACGGGCAGCATGACCTGTCATGTTACGGAGACGCTTAGTAGCAGTGACATCCCAGAGCTGAATAAAAAGTTATTAATGAGAGGATAAATACTCTTACATTAGATATAACTTCAAGCAAACACATGTAACTACATTGATAGCAATTACTAAAACACAGCAAACTAGAAATTAAACAATTTGAAATCATACATGCATGTACCTGAACTTCAGCATTGCTTGTTCCAACTGCAATGTGTCGTCCATCTGTGGCCCAACTCAACGAGCATATGTAATCTTCTGGATTATTCATTGTTAATAGCAATTGGATGTCACCAGTATTTGTGTTGAATAGATAAACACTTTCACCCAAAGCCACAGCAAGTATATTTGTTGAACTCCAATCGATGAGATTTAAATCTGTTGACAGAATTAAGTTAGTATTCTAAAGAACAATACCTCATCAGTCATCAGTACTCTCTTCCAATTTCAGCACGGGCTTCAGTAAGTCGAACTTGGTGAAAAAAAAATAATGGTAACAGTTTTAAGTCTCATTTTCTTTTCTTGAATGGAACTTGAGGAATTAATGATGCCATTCACAGTTTTTTATAACAGACATAAGAAGAGGAGGGCCCTGTATCTATATTATAAGACTGTCACTATTCCATCCCGTTCACGCTTCATTTCGGAACTCATTTGTGTGAGGTGAGCAATACACAATGCCCAAACTTAATTTATTAGCAGTATTTTGCTCCAAGCGTTGCACAATTTTTAGCTCTTTAAGCCTAAGGAGGGGGGGCCTCGCACTGTCAAAATTGTATGTGTATCACGTCATGTTTTCCTTCAACTCACGGTACGAATTCCGAAATGAAGTGATTCAAACACTAAAGCAGCAATGTTTTGACTCTGTTAATCTAGTTTAAACGATATTCGAAATGTTTTTCCAGGGAAATTCCAGATAAGTTTACTATTTGAATACAGACGAGACATCCCTAGTTTGAAAAAAGTTCTGAGATTTTCTTGATTCCAGATAACCAATCCAAGTCATTGTACCGATGGTGACTGATGTTATTGGTTGTTTATCAGAATTTATCAGGATCTCTAATTAAAATGAATCAATTGAGTGTCTATTGCTTTTCTCTATTTTCCTTCTGATATGATGAAACAGTCTCGAATGAACGACTTATGAATATCATTTAAATTTCAACTTTGTAATACATAATAAAACAATTAAAAACATACAATAATCATCCAACAACTGAGGAGCATCAAGAACTTGTTCTGATGTTGAAAGAATGTATCTATTTTTTTTTCTACTTGTTGGATTTTTCTTGGTTGAACTGTATAACACCTAAAAGTTGAAGAGTAATTTTATGAATAATAAAATGGAGTTTTGCAAAGAAAACAAGTTAAGGAAGTTATGTTGAATGCGAAAATACCTACATTTATACATGTATATACGAATACAGAAAAGGATAACAACAGACATTGCTGCTATGGTTAGACATTTATGAGTAGATGAAAAAATAGCATAATCTGACAAAGCCTTCCCATTTCCTAATTAATACCAGCTCCTAAAGAATTTTGATTGAAAATTTCATAGGTAGGAACCCATTTTACCCTATAAATGCCCTAATCCGCACAAAACTCGGACATAATATTTTTAAAAATTCTAAATTGAAGCTACATTAAACCATTCAAACAAATGAGGGCCATACTCTGATTTGATTATATATATTATAAAATTTCACTTTAGAATATGACATAACGTTCTTACAATGTAGACATAACCAACCTTGCTCGAATTTTGATAACCTTCCGCGTGCATTGGCTTATCTTTGAATGCAAAAATTTTATCTTCATTTGCACTGCTTTGGTGTAATTGTTTCAAATTTTCTTTTAATAATTTCTTATATTCTTCAGAGATTGAAGTATCAGCATGATTACTGGGTATATCTGACACAGAAATATTGAACACATCAATTATAATGTAATGTTGAATGGAACAAAATGTTATACATCTAAAATATAGGGTCAGGAAACTACAGTCTTATACAGTCAACTTATTTTAATTCAAAAAACTACGATAAGTACATACAGCTGATCTGTTTCATATGTTGTTTCAGTGATGCACATCAGTTGAAATATGTTAAATAGGTTATATAGAAGCAGTCATGCACACTCAGCCCAAACCTTGAAAATGTTCTAGAGGGCTTGATGATAATATTTGTGAGTACTAGAAATAAAATAAATTTGTGTTCGAATTTTTCACATATGTGGCAATTTCCGTTAGAATTTTTCATTTATGGACAATTTTCCATTTCAAATCAGTAACACCAGCAAATAGATACGCCAAAAAAAATCAATATAGGAATTGTTGTTGATATTGGATTGGTAATTGGTATCAGAAAAAAATACAATACTGTTTTGGTTTTAAGCAGTACTTTACAATATTACAAAATTTTGATTTATAGAATTCAACATACCATTTTCGGATGTAAGTTTGTATTGACCAAGTTCAAAATTTGTTGCTTGTCTGTTAGGGATATATCGATCTCCCCGACTCGGAGTTTTATTCAGGCTCAAACCCCTGGTCGGAGTTTTCGATTTTGCTGTAAGGAAATTAACCTCATAAAAAGATCTGCGAGTATCAAAACAATTCTGCCAATTCATCTTCTCTACATGTACATTTGCAGTATATACAAATACTGCTACTGAAACTATGCTACATATCTCCCATAAATATCCATGTTGAATCAACATTTATATTATTAATCATACAGCAATTCAGAATTTGTAAATTATAACAAGTAGAGCAAACTCATTTCAAATTAATTTGGAAACTGACTTATGACATGCCCAAGCATAAATGAAATATGGCATTTAAAAAAGCTGCTATCAAGTATTACTTGATTTAATAAAAGTTGTCAATTTCAAGCAGGCCTACCTTGCTTGAGACACTTTGAAATTTGAGCAAATTATGGATATTCCAGACTGTTCTTATTAATTCAAAATCTCCTAACACAAGTTGTGATTGTTCGTTTATTATGTTTTCATGGCAAGAAAAATGTTGTTCTAATGCTGATGCTCTCAATCTAAACTTACATTATATGCTGCAAAAAATATGAATAAAAATACTTCACCTCTAGGAGTTCTACATTTTGCAGAACTAGGTGTGAGAAATGAACTTGGAGAATTGATGATGCTTTTACTCAGCGAATGATTGGAAATCTTCAGTGGACTGAGGGGAATGCTGTATTAATTTATTAATAAGTAAAAATTTTAAGACGAGTATAAGAAAATTCTTAGCCATACATCCATAGTAATAAAATGACCACAGGGAATTCACATTTTCAATCAATTAATTTACAAAGTTCTGCTGATTTGATGATAAAACATACAGAATATTCGCCAACTAAGTTTCTGGTCAAATTTGGAAGTGAATATTTATAATTGCACACAAAAATATTAGTTGTATATTACAAATAATGCAGAATAAGTACCGTAGTATAATGCAGTGCAATAACATATAACATTTGGTTGGTTTTGTAAACATAAATATTATTCACCTTGTATTGCCACTGGAGTTGCAACCTGGCACATTCAAATTTTTTCTTTGCCACCTCGGCATTGGTCCACTTTTAATTGGAGCATCCAGCCTGAGCAAGCTATTGACTTCATTTTCAAAGTCGTATTGTGAGGTCATCACATTCGAAGATAAATTAAAGCGAAATAATAACAACGAAACCTGTTAGTGATATCAAAATTTAAACAAATTCAGATATACAAATGTTAGCATGTAAACGCCATACGGTAAGTATATTTTTTTATATTCCACACATTTTCCATTGAATACAAATTCTCAAATGGTGGCAGTGAATAGTGAGATTGAATATGAAAATCTGTATTGTATATTTTTACAGCGGAAACCCAATGATATTATTAAATTAGAATAAAATTCTGCCATTGATAAAGTTGTTCAGTATGCATAAAGTTGAAGACCATCTGCCAAATTTCTTCCTAATTAGTTTCAAACCAAATGTGACATCTTTGTACTGGTGCTACTGCTATTTTTCTACAAGAAGAAAAAATATATTGAAATGAGACTAAGTAAAATTACAAATATACGGGAGTTATAGCTCTTCTATTTCGTGAATAATTATCTCAATGTAAGTTTTAACATTATAAAGAGAGAATAAGAGTAAAAAACCAAACTTTTGTAATGGTGAATGAAGAATAAAAGACAATGTGTAGATGGAAGGAGCGACAGTATGTTGCTGTATAAAAGCTTTCGAGCTTATATGGTATGGCAATGACATAGCCAATGTGTTAATCGACCTTAAGACTGAAAGACCGAAAAGTCTCTATTGAGACCGAAAATTCTAACATTGAAACTGACTGATTACAGAGAACATGCACCTTCTGGCTTCCCTCGAGTATGCAAAAACCAGGCATGTAGGTATGGGATACAGCAATCTGGCTATACAGTACGGCACACTATACAAATCGAGTGACATTGTCCCATTTCAGAGATACTCTTATTACAGATGATCGGACACCCCTCCTTTGGGATAGGCCTACGTCTGGACATTGTTGTCCCTCAATATCGGTAATAATACAGTATAATGAAGAAAATAATCCGATTTACCAAAGGAAAAAAAATTTTACCATAGCATTTGAGAGTTTTTAACAGCAATTTTGGTCATGTGACGGCCGCGATTAACTTAGATTATTATTGAGACAAGCATGGTGTGATATAACGCATCTGACGTGGTCCCAGACGCCCCTCGTTTGTGAGACACATTGAGTGTTTGTTTTATAGAGTCAAATCAGCAAATGGAGGGAAATTCTTGGAATTTGGATAGTGTGCTGTACTGCTATAGAGATGGTAGCATAAAATTCATAATAAGGTTGGCAAAATACGGTTATTGCATGTCAAATAAGGTCTGGAGAAATAGGATCGTTGAGTCAAAATAGGGCTGACGAAATACGGCCACTACTTGCAAATTAGGACTATGAAAATAAGGTCAATGCCTGTCATATTAGAGTTGGCAAAATATTGTCAATGCATGTCAAAATAGGGCTGGCAAAATACAAATACTGCATGTCAAAATAGGGCTGGCAAAAACCGTCACTGCATGTCAAACAGGAAACAGGGTTGTCCAAAAAGAATCGAATGTATTCGAAAATCAATGTGTTCGAATACCTTTTCGGCTGGTTTTTGAATAATTCCGAACAGAATACGGTACCGGTACTTTTCGCTGTTAACGAGGTGTTTCGTTTTATAGGAAAATCTTCCATCGATTTCCACTTTGATTGTTTGTTATCTCCTGTGCGAGCGTTTGCCTCATATCGTTGTGACACCTTTTTGGCTTTGCAAGGTTAACTAACTTCCAAGTCAAATGTAAAACAAAATCCAAAGAGTCAGGAAAATATATAGGGTAAGACGTTACCTACGGTACCTGGTATACAGGTACCATATCAGGGTATGTATGTTTATTTGTCTCGTAAAAAGCAACAAAAGCGTAGATAGATTATCAATACTGAAGACGGGATGTATGCACAAGACCATACAGGCCTAAAACACAAACGTGCGGCATGCCCCCCTTTTGAAAAGTTTTATATAACGTTAAAAATAAATCGAATACATATAATATGGTCCCTTATACAGACAGACAGTTGTGCAAGGAGTGGTGAGTGTGGTAACAGGGGTAAGGGTGGAGTATACAAAGCTGTTTGTACAAGGGATAGGATAGGATTACCATATTTATCCCGGGGGAGAGGAAAGCCGATAAGACGGCTTATCCATATGGCGAACCACGGCCTCTCGTCCGGTTACCATTCCAAGTCGGGGTATGGGATTAGTTATATTGTTTGTTTTCGGAGGCATGGACTTGGTGGTGGAGGAAGCCGTAACCGACCAGCGGTTACGTGAACCACCCAACGACGGCGAGGAGTCCAGCAATCCTCTCGCACATAACCATCCCTGCATGGGTTCGAACCTGCGAACCCACGCAGAGTAATTAGAGGTGCGGTGGCGAGCGTATTCCTAACGCTTAGCCCGTTGAGCCACACCGCCGCGCCGAAACAAGGGAATTTGTAAGACAAGACAACATGAATAAATAAAACATAACACAACACGAAATAAACTGCATGTATAAATAATACTAAAATTTAGCATTTGGACATAAATACAAAACTCTTGAGTGATGGTATCCCATAATATAAATGTGTATAGTCTACATCGTAGCAGTATCGGTATGAGCATTTTTTGACCTTCAAATCTGATATTTTCCGCAAGATTTTTTGTCAATGGAAATTATAACTTACCGTACAACAGCAGTACCGGTACAGACTTAACAGAACACCCCATCTAACACACCGTACTGTGAACTACTGGTACCGGTTCTGGTATTCGGTATTCAGATATTGAACATGGTCGAAGTCTTACGGCGGTTTAGCAATTCTACAATAGCTGAATAGGCAAAATGCGGACCGATCCGCTATGTTTCACACAAAGTGACTACAGTTTATAGTCACTTTGGTTTCACATGGCTTAAATTTTAAAGGGCCTCTTGACCGTCGATGATTGGTTGCTTAAATCTGACGATTAGGTTCATTGAGCAGATCCCCGTGATAGCTTACCTCTGGGAAGCTAGCAGCAAAACACGAAATTGAGACTGACAGAATTGCAGAAAATACCCACGCGTAAAATTGAATGTTCCCAATGATTTGTCTTGTTAAAATATGGTAAACAAGCATAAAAAAAAGACATGCCGGATTAAAGGAAGCAAAGAAACGCAGAACGGACGGTTTTAAAATTTCAAATGAAAGATAAATGGATTTCCATCAAAAACTTAAAATTATGTCAATTTTTCAATTGAATTTTGGTATTCTGACGCAAAATTGACGTAACACGCATATGACGATTTTGGTGATTTTCAAAGCCCATCAGCATGTTGTACCGGCCAAGAGGCGGTTGATTTTATTATTTTAAATTAAAGATATAGTCATATAGATTGTAAGCAAAGTCAAATGAATTTCAACAAGAATCTATAAATTTTTCGATTAAGTTTTAATGATCTTACACAAAATTGACGTAACTCGTATTTAGCGATTTTGGTGATTTTCAAAGCCCAGCAGCAAGTTGTTCCGGTCAAGAGGTGGTTGATTTTATTATTTTAAATTAAAGATATATTCATATAGATTGTAAGCAAAGTCGAATGAATTTCAACAAAAACTTATAAACTTTTGAATTTTTCGATTGAGTTTTGATAATCTGACGCAAAATTGACGTGACTCGTATTTAGCGATTTTCAAAGCCCATCAGCAAGTTGTTCCGGTCAAGAGGCGGTTGATTTTATTATTTTAAATTAAAGATATAGTCATATAGATTGTAAGCAAAGTTGAATAAATTTCAACAAAAACTTATAAACTTTTGAATTTTTCGATTGATTTTTGATAATCTGACGCAAAATTGACGTAACTCGTATTTAGCGATTTTGGTGATTTTCAAAGCCCATCAGCATGTTGTTCCGGTCAAGAGGCGGTTGATTTTATTATTTTAAATTAAAGATATATTCATATAGATTGTAAGCAAAGTCGAATGAATTTCAACAAAAACTTATAAACTTTTGAATTTTTCGATTGAGTTTTGATAATCTGACGCAAAATTGACGTGACTCGTATTTAGCGATTTTCAAAGCCCATCAGCAAGTTGTTCCGGTCAAGAGGCGGTTGATTTTATTATTTTAAATTAAAGATATAGTCATATAGATTGTAAGCAAAGTTGAATAAATTTCAACAAAAACTTATAAACTTTTGAATTTTTCGATTGATTTTTGATAATCTGACGCAAAATTGACGTAACTCGGATTTAGCGATTTTGGTGATTTTCAAAGCCCATAAGCATGTTGTTCCGGTCAAGAGGCGGTTGATTTTATTATTTTAAATTAAAGATATATTCATATAGATTGTAAGCAAAGTCGAATGAATTTCAACAAAAACTTATAAACGTTTGAATTTTTCGATTGAGTTTTGATAATCTGACGCAAAATTGACGTAACTCGTATTTAGCGATTTTGGTGATTTTCAAAGCCCAGCAGCAAGTTGTTCCGGTCAAGAGGTGGTTGATTTTATTATTTTAAATTAAAGATATAGTCATATAAATTGTAAGCAAAATCGAATGAATTTCAACAAAAACTTATAAACTTTTGAATTTTTTCGATTGAGTTAATCTGACGCAAAATTGACGTAACTCGTATTTAGCGATTTTGGTGATTTTCAAAGCCCAGCAGCAAGTTGTTCTGGTCAAGAGGCGGTTGATTTTATTATTTTTAAATTAAAGATATAGTCATATAGATTGTAAGCAAAGTCGAATGATTTTCAACAAAAACTTATAAAGTTTTGAATTTTTCGATTGAGTTTTGATAATCTGACGCAAAATTGACGTAACTCGTATTTAGCGATTTTGGTGATTTTCAAAGCCCAGCAGCATTGTGTCCGATCAAGAGGCGGTTGATTTTATTGTTTTAAATTAAAGATCTAGTCATATAGATTGTAAGCAAAGTCGAATGAATTTCAACAAAAACCTTATAAACTTTTGAATTTTTCGATTGAATTTCGATAATCTGTCGCAAAATTGAAGTAACCCACAAATGACGATTTTGTCATTTTCACCAGCAGCATGTTGTCCGATCAAGAGGGGGCTGAGTTTATTCAAAATGAGTAAATGTTGTTAAAGATTGTAAGCGAAGAAAATTA